CAGGGTGGCCCAGAGCTGCTGGTTTCTTTTCAGACTGATTCATGGGAGATTTTAGAATGATTTTACAAATGCTCTCCCCACACCAATCTCTGAAAACTCTAAAGACCTGAAAACTCTTGTCAAAAAAAAAAAAATCCAATTCTAAGGAACAGCGCTCATTTGAGAGGCTGATGTCATCTATCTCCCCGAAGAAAAGGCCACACGTTCCTTTGTGGAGTCCCTGGGTGACATCACCTCCTGATCACTTAACCCTCCCCCGCTGGCTCCCAGCTGAAGGCCTCACTCCCTTTTGCAAATGTCAGTCTATTGCTCACAAAGCTCCTTGACCTTGTGTGTACACTGGATTCCATTGCCAAGGGAAAGCAGGTCTCTGGGAGCAGGGAGGAGATGTGGGGAGGGGCGTGCGCAGCTGGCTGGGAGGCCGCTATTCACACAGCTCTCCCAAAGTTCTCTATTCCCTGCAACAACCCAGACGGAGGCCCCAAGGCAGCTCCTGGACAATGCCTGGTCCTGTGAACCTATTAGCAAGGCAGGGCGGCTGTGGCCATTTCTTTCTTTCCAGGGCGGGACTCTTCTTTGAGGGGCTGTATAATGGCCAGGCAATGTGGCCTCATCTCACGTCTACAGAGCCACTTTCAAATTGAACCCACAGAGAAAGCCCCTTTGTGAATCTCCTTTCTCAGAGCAAATAGGGAGATTTGTGCAGGCGACAAAGCCCATTCTGTATCTGGGTTTATTTATTCGTTAGTGAAGTGAGGAGAGTGTGTGGGGATGCTTTTTCAGCAGCAATGCACAGGAAATGGTGTTGCCTGCTGGAGATCTTAAATGTTGGAGGCAGAACATTTTTTTAAAGGGGGGTGGTGAGGAAGAAGGAGATTCTGATTGCACAGTTTGGAAAAGTGTGGGAGGGAAGTGAGGGCCCAACATGTGATTGGCTTTTAATGCCAATGGGGTGAGCATCACCCAGGGAGGTCCTGAGTCCTCGGCCTGGTTCCAAGCAGGCATCTACAGCGGCTGTGCACAGGTCACCATCCTGAATTGTTTTATACTGACATGCTGCAGGCCCCAAAACAAACAAACATTTAAAAAATTACTATGGCACCTGAAAACTGAGTAGTTTGTTGTATGTGTTTTGTATTTTAAGTCTCACAATGTGCCACGTTGCCTAGGTTCCTTCACATTCTACTTGAGAGTCATCTCTGAACGATGACAGATCTGCATTGGGAGAGAGGGTTTGGCACCATGGCTGTGTGAGTCCCTGCCAAAGGGGACTCAGCACCAGCTGCTCTGAACTTCTCTAGGCCCTCTAACTTCCCCTGCCACCTCCCACTACAGGCCATTTCTACCTGCTACCCTCAGCTTTCTCCTCCTTGCCCATGAACTCCTGCTTGTTTAGATTTTAGCTCATAGGTGCCATTCTCATGGGAGAATGATCACCTACCCACACCAGGCCAGCTCTCCTGTGTATCCACTCACGGCATCTGTCGGATGTCTAAGTATCTGTGTACTTATGCTGGGTGTCTGTTTCTCCTCCTGTGAGAGGAGGGTTATGGTAGCTAATCTCTGTCACTCTATGCTCCCAGCTCCAGCACAATGCAGTGTAAAAAAGTTCCGTAGTATCTATATAAGGAACAAACAGATGAATTACAGATCATCTTCAGTTTAGCAACAACAGATTGAAAAAAAATGAGGGTCCCCTCCCCTTGAAGAATTTTTCCTCTTTGTTGATTTCTCTTTTCAGATTATCTGAAGTTGAAAGCATAATTCAGACGCAGAGTGTAACTTCAGTACCTGTGACACTGAGTACAGAATGTGATATTCTAATTTTGCAAAGATCTAAGTCATTGAAAGCTCCTTTCCGAAAGATTCTTCCCAACTATAACCTACATACATACATACAGTTAGGAGCACAAACTCAAAAGCATTTTTAAAAATGTTCAGTTTTGGCCCTGGCCATATTTTGTTGCATAATCCTGGCTCTAAGCTTAGCAGTTTTTTTAGTAACTGGTGGAAAGTTTTGAAATAATAAACAGGAAAAGAGAATGGACAGAGGGTGTCTTTTATGCTTCTCAAGGAAGACTGAGTCCAACCAGAGCTGGTAGAAAAAAAGATGTTTCCTAATAAGAACTCAGAGCTTTCCTCAGAGGACTCAGCATGTTGGTTGGAAGAACCAACCCTGCAGTCATCCAAGTGTGGCCACTCAGTCGGGCTCCTTGGATGGCTTTGGGCTAGGATGGCTCAAACAGCCTGGAGGGCTAGAGGAATGAGTGCCTGAGGAGATAAGATCAGTGAAATCACTACTTAGGACACTTCTTATCCTGAGGAAAAACTCAAATACTTAGAGTTTAAAAATGGGCAATAGTCAAGGCCCCACTGCTAACAGTTTAATCCCATCCCTGGAAGTTAGCAGCCAGCCTTTGTGTACTTCAAACACAAACATTCCTACATGCATTAAGGGTTAAGCAGCACTCCCAGAGCCCCAACCAGAGCCTCCTGGTTAGGATTTCCCAATCTTTACCTTCTGACTCCTGGGAAAGTGTTCCCCTTGGTGGGACTCTAAATGCAATAAAGCTCTCTCTATCCCAGGGATTCCATCCTGCCACCATTTAAGACCAGCTGTTAGGACAATGAGCCCCTTTAGCACCTCAGGAGGATTCACCAGACCCTTGGGAATATTGTGGGCCTACTATTTCCCACCTCCAAGCTTTCCATTCATTGCTATCTTTCTCTGCAATGTCATAGGCATTGCCTGCAAACTGGTTAGAAATGCAGATGAGTGGGCCCTACTCCAGACCTCCGGAATCAACATCTTCTGTTGAGCAAGATCCCCAGTGACTCACACGCACATGAATGTCTGAGAACCACTGCCTTGAAGCACAACCCTAACCCTTGGCATTCTGATCATTTTTCAGGAGTCTCCTTTTCTTTCTATGTCTTTACACTGTAGCTAGTTTACTTAGAATCATGATGTTTCTTTGTCACAGAATACCAGAAATAGATTGCACTGCAGTGATGAATCAACTGTTCAACTATACCCTTTCATTTAATGGTTCAATAACTTAACCATTCTAAAGTTAAAACAAAACACTTGAGGAAGAGGAAGATCCATAACTTATAATGATTATAGATCATTTACTTTGGAGATTCAAAATCTATGCTTCACCCTACAAGGAGGTTTGGGATTTCTACTGAGTAATTTTTTTTTAAATGGCAAACTCCACATTTACATTTTAAGAGATACACCCAGTCCCCAGTTTATGGCCTTAAACAAGCATAAATAGATGGTCCCTAATTTATGCTAGCTTAATTTATTACAGTTTTACTTCATAATAGTTGGAAAGTGTTAATCAGTAGGAACCACAGTTTCAACTTCACATTAAACATCCTATTATATAAAATATGCTTTGTATTAGATAATTTTGCTAAATATAAGCTAACGTAAGTATTCTAAACACCTATAATGCTCAGCTATTATGATCAGTGGGTTAAATGTAAAAAAAAAAATGTTTTTTCCACTTACATACTTTGTATTTATGATGGTTTGCCCCAATTGTCCATGTAGAGGTACATTATGATAAATAGAGCATCTGTTATAGTCCAGTTACATACAGCTCTGATATTTATACAGTGAGTATATGAGTAACACATACTCATGCATACTCATTTTGTACACCCCAAGATTTGACCACCTGTGCTTGATCTCAGGTGTAACATGACAACTCTACTTCTCTGCCTAACTCATTGATATACAACACACTGGCTGAGCACTGCTTCTAAAACGCCTACAAGAACTTCACTTTTCAGGGCTAGGTCACTCTAGGACACTGAGGTCCCAATCTTTAATCACCATGGAGACCAGTTAAGACACAGATAATTGGGTTTCCCTTCAGAGTTTGTGAGTTAGTAGGTCGCAGTGAGGTTTCAGAATTTTGTATTTGACAAGTTTCAGGTAATGTTGCTGTTACTCTTTGATGAAAGGTTTTGAAAACTGCTCTGGGCCCCTCTATCCATAGTCTGGTCCACATGTCAGACCTCTAGGGGAGGAGGAGCGTCATCCTCAGAGGCAGTATTATCTTTACTTGCTCCCTGTACCACTGGTTTCTCATGCCTCTGATGTGCGCCTCTACTCTTTTCAACATGCCCTAGGCATTGTGCATTACGATGTAAAATCTTTACTTCTATTCCTCCTCTCAACCTCTTTCTTCTCCTTTCTCTAATCTCTCACTGACTTAAAAAAGATTTATTTCACTTATTTGAAAGGCAGAGTAGCAGAGATAGAAACAGAGAGCAGGAGAGAAAGAAAAAAGAGGCGTCTTCCATCTGCTGGTTCACTTACTAAATGGCCACATGGCGGGGGATGGGCCAGGCCAAAACCAGGAGTCCAAGCACATGCTGCTTTCCGAGGCAAATTGGCAGAGAGCCAAGGGAAAACTGAGACTTGAACTGATTCCCACGTGGGATGCTGCCATGGCACAAAATGTGTCCCTTTGACTGACTCACAATTTTCTCTTTAGCCCCATCATTCTTTCTCAATGTCAAGGTCAAGATGAGTCTTAAATCTCATTGTATTCCACTGCACCTGGGAGACTACCACTTCTGCTTGCAATGCACTGGTTGTACCCAGATACAAATCATCATCTTCAGAAACTTCATTCTGTTCCCTCCTTTCTCTAAAGCAATATATCACTGAAACCAACTTACACAATTAGTCCAATCCTTTCCATATTGCCTTATTATGTTTTCAAGTCACAAGGGATTTACCAGAGCACAACTCCCTTGTAGGCAGAGTGGTTCTGCTCACTTGGAGTATACTTCTCTAATCCATGAGGATTTAACTTGCCAAGTTCTCTGCCATCTGAATTAATTTTCTGAAGCCCAGCATCTGATGATTTACCTAATTCCTGCAGTTTGTTCATGGTGTTGTTTGCAAGGCTAGAATTGGAAAGGACCCATTCTCAGATGGCAACTTACAATCCACCTGAAATCAGCATGGGACTTACCTTGAATGAACCACTGCATCTGAAACCCTGTCTCCTTGTGATTCACCCCGTCTGTATGGAACAGCACGTGAAGGCTGGACCTTGTGGTTCCATCTGGCGGAGGTTTATTTGTTCCACAGTAGCGTCCTATCCGCTGTGATCCATCATAGAGCTGAAATCACAAACACCCCGATGTAAAATCATTTTGCATGGCATGTCTTATGGAAAAAGCCAGGTCTCCTCAAAGAGCAAATGTTGGTCTCTTCCTTCAAAGCCTGGAGATAAACTGGCTGAGGTGGATTGAATACAAAAGGTTTAACGTAAGAATTTAAAACAGAAAATTATCTAGACAGAATTTCAGAGATGGATGGATTTAATTTCTAGGTCCAATAGATTGAGAAATCCAGCTATTTGTTTCTGGCTTTATGTGAACCTACAAGTCCAAAATATAACCCAGCACAGAATAGGGAAATGATAGAGCAGATGAGCTACTTTCACCTGTCAATGATGCAGAGCAGATGCTCAATGAGGGCTAACTATCACAATGCAGGATGTAATTTTTAAAATAAATAACCATAGAAGAGTCAAATTCCTTAAAAGATAAGAAAAAGGAAAATACAAAGACAACTCCTACTGAAAACAAACACTGTTAATGCTTTATTTACATTGTGAATTTCTTTTGTCAACATATTCCATTTATGTACATGTATATATGCAAACACACATTTACAGGTATATACTTGTCAGATCACTTTCCTTGTTTACCCTTAAGAATGTCAATAAATAATGGGTTTAAACATTTTTAAGGGCAGTGCAAATGCCACCAATCCACTCTACTTACAATTCTATTGTTAAAGACACACCCAAATTTCCTGTCAGTTTTAATATTTGATACTTTCAATGTTTCTTTAAAAAGACCCCTATAAAGGAAATTTAAAAAGTAAATGGTGTGGAGTCATTGTGGTCACAAGAAGTGGGAATCTGGTGCAGCCTAGTTCAAAGCTGTAAAAAATCATAGGCTTCTCCCACTGAGCCCCGAAACTGGCTGCTCATCACATGTACATGCTCTTGAGATGTCAAGGAAGACCAACAGAGATTTCAAGAGAAGTCCAGAGGCCCATTATACTGTCCACCTTTAAGTACTCAGCCTGAGCACTTTAAACAAATTAATATAGGTGAGGTTTGTTTTTGAGGTTTACCACATTAGCTTTCTTAATACCATAAACCTGTTCTTTTGAATGTGCATATTTATTATGTTTTTAATATTCTACATTTTGGCAGGAAACATAATGAGGAAGGGAAAAAGAGAGGAAGAATAAAACAACATGAAAAGTGGGAACAAGAGCAACAGCCCTTCATTGGCCGTCTCAAGTTCCCTAACACAGAGAGCAGAAGCATGTGGGTAGTGGGTAGAAGGTGCTGTCTCCAGCTGTAGGTGTCCAAACGGCTGCTCCACTTGACTATGTCTTTAGATTAATTCTCAGGTAGGAAGTCCTCTTTGAGATGAGTTAAAATAAAAATAAATCTCTGCTCCCCAAGTAGAGACAAAAATAGGCAAGAAAATGTTCTATGATCTTCCACAAGACAAGTATTTTTCCTCGCTTTGGATTATGGTGTAATGACCAAAACTTAAATTATTTCACCTTTGTCTAACAAAACCTAAGGCAAAATTTCTCTGGAATCACAATCATTTTTAATTCAGAAAAGCTTACAAACACTGGGAAGCAACTTGCTTAGGAATCATGTTTTGATTTCACACAAGAATTCTGCAGAGTTCTACAATATGGTGTATGTGCCTTTTAGTTCAGCAAGGTTACATTTTTACATGACCTAAAAGAGTTTTTTTGCTTTTTTCCCTTCCTTTTGGATGAGATTAATTGAGTCAAGTAATCCCAGAGACTCAGTGGTAGTAAAGAGCACATTATGAATGGGTGGGGAGAGAGAGAGAGAGACAATAGCAGTGGGTTTCAGGGAAGCACTGATAAATGACAGTTGCTTTATGCCTTTGAAGGAGATGTTATACTGAGCATCAAATAGAATTTATGAAAATGCTTAAGTGTAATGCCAAATAAGCCAGTGAATTAATTAGTATAGAACAATGCCTTAATTAGGAAAAATATCCATGCCCCTAGAATTATGCCATTTTAATGTTCACACTTAATTAAATCAGAATTTTTGTTTTTATTCACAGACATGGCCAACATCACCTCTACAATTCATTCCCGCGTAAATTTACCACACAAAAAGAATCGTCATTTTTCAAAGTATACAAATACTGGTTGCCATGGAAACAAACTAGTCCCTTGCTGCTCCTGATGCTGTTTTCAGAGCAGAATTTTAACCACAGGACATTCCAACTGTGACTCATTGAGACTACTGGCAAGCATGCTGGCTTGAATCTAGTGAAAGTTTGATTTCTGAAGTTTTCAGTATGCCTACATATCTATTCAGGCTCTTGTAAAAAGAAACCAGTAAAAACTAATAAGGACTCAGATTCTCACCTTTAACCTGCAGATCTGATATTCTGATTTGCATAACAGTACTTAAAGGATGTTCTTTTTTTAACTAGTACAAAGCTTCCATTTCTAATCTGGCCATGCACTACATCCTCAGGAATGGATGTTTGTATGTTGCAAACCCTTCTGTGAAGCATCTTTGCAGACATTCTTTCAAAAGAGACTTTTCATTTAGAATGTGTGTGGTTTAGTTCTCGCCCACCCAATCTGCACCAAAATATCTCAACCACACTTGGAGCAATAAAAGAGGAAGGAAATCTCTTGCCTAAGCCACACTTACCACTTTCTGTGTACTTCCTCTGCATGGGTTTGATCATTTTGCACAAATGTAGTGCGTGAGACCATTAGTGACTTCAGGCTCCAGCTGCCACATGGCATTGTCAATGGATTTCTCAATGCTAAGGATCCAAACAAGATGGGAGACAGGAAACTGAAGGCACACAAAGTATGTCCATTGATGATGGAGCTGGTCCAAGCCTCATAAGATAAAAGGTTTTGTGGACACACTAGGAATCATTGGAAGCCAAGTTCTAAGTGAAGAGACACCCAAACCCAGCTAACCTGGATTTTAGATGCTCCCTACAGAGGAGTCAACCCTACAAAATGCTAAAATTTTAAGAATGGAAATGCTTTCTCCCAGGGTCTCTTCATTGCGGACTTACTTTACAACTTTAAAATGTGTAACTATAATGAACAAAAATTATAATTAATTATCTCCTACATAGAAGCATGGAATGTGTAGACTGGATGTTTTTCTAAATTCACTTCAAGCTGAGACCAAGTGATTCTCAAACTTTTATACTGAAGAAGAGCATCAAACTGGAATTTTTTTCCTATGTACTGTTTTTCTTGTTGAAATTTTTCTGCAAAAATTAATTTTAAGAGGATCATTAGCTTGAAAAATTAATTAAATGTAGCCCATTCCAAGGGAGTAAATCATGAGGTTTTTTTAGATGATATCACTAAAATAAGAGACTTCTGGAGGAGGGGGATGTTGTCCATTTCCTGTTACAAATCTTTGAAAATTTCCAAGAAGCTTCATCCTTCAGAGTCTATACTTGATGTAATTCATCTGTGGTGAGAGAAGAATTTAAGTCTAGAAGAGAATCTCCCTTTCTTCCCCCTCTTTTTACAAAGAACAACAAGAACAAACTCATAGTGACTGTAAAGAAGGTGCTAAAGTTAGGAGAATGATGCTGAATGAGTTCAGAGAGAGGCTGTTGGAAGTCAGTGCCTTCAGTAGAAAATTAAATTTCAAAAAGAAGCAGAAAAGCCATTTTATTACAGAGACATACTAGGGGATGGTCAATTGATCAGAGTCAGGCTCTGGGTCCACAGTCCAGTACTAACAATTGTTTGGTACAGAATCTTATGGACATTATTTAATTCCTCTAAACTAAACTTCATCTATAAATCTGACATCATAGCAGCACTTATCTCTAAGGTTGCTGTAAATAACAAATGAGAGAAACTACGCAACCGGTCTAGTATGAGACCTGGCATGTAAAAAGTACTCAAAGTGTTATTCTAACTGCTGGTCAGAGCAAAAGCAACCAACATCTTTTCCAAAGAAATTGCTCCAAAATAGCTTTGAGAAAAGAAATATGAGGGCTTGAGAGAACGGGAGCTGACTCACGTAAAACATTTCACAGAAACCATCATGGGTGGGGTGGCTGTGGAAGCAATGAATCAGAGGAGATGGAGGCCATTCCTGGCAATGTGTTGCTGTAATGACCTGGTTATATGTGGAAGCTGAAGCTACCTCCTATATGCAGGTTGCTGAACCCAATGCACATTGCCCCATGTTAGCTGAAGCTCAGTGTGTGTGTTGGGGACAGAACAAGGATGGCAGGAAATAGAAGCAAGGAAAGTTAGGAAATGAGAGGCTGATGGGGGAGAGAGTAGCCATGGAGAGAAAAGTCAACTGGCAAGAGAAGTGGCTTTATGAGATAAAGTCAAGTGAGATATATCGTTGCTGTTGCAACCTCCTCTTTTTGTCCTGTGGCTCCAACAGGTTGGCCTCTGGACCTCTAGAGAGGTGGCACAAGGCAAATTCTTTCCCTTCTGTAAAAACAACTCTAGCAAGAGCTAAGGAGCTGACTCAGTAGGGTAATAATTAAGAAAGTTGTTGTTGAAGCTTTTACTAAATACATGCTGGATAAACGTGGAACTTTGACATCTTTATTTTAAATGTTAAGAGCTTTGAAATGCTCCTGTAACAATCACAGGAGCTGATGAAGGAGAATCACTGAGCAGGGTAATGAGGAAAGCACAGGGAAATAAATATGCAATCCAATTGTAGGGATTAAGCAGGCAAGTGTTGATGGCAAGGCTAATAAGCAAGCTAAGTACCTTCTGGTTTGGACACATGTCACTCACAGTGCACTCCATGCACAGACACGTATGCATCTTCCCCAGGGACAGGAAAAGCCACACTACCATGCAGTGGCAGAGTGGGGTGGGAAATTTGAATGCCCATGTAAAACGGACAATTATTCATCATGCCGGGTTTTACATGAGAGCAAGAAACCCACTGAAATACCACATTCTGAGTTACTTGGTGTCAGTCTAAATTACATTTCTGGCTCAAACACTGACGACAGAGTCCCCTTTCTATGTGGTGGTTAGCTGTTATGCTCTTGTGCTAATGCACTTC